GCGGCGGTGACCCGCTGCTGCTGCTGCTGCTGCTGCTGCTGCTGCGTGGGGTGCGGCGGGCGAGTGGTGGTGCTGCAGTGTCTTGGCTGGGGAATGCATGCAGCGGGGTGTGGGGTTTGCTGCTGCTGTTAAAAGGGTCGAGTGTGCAAGTGGTGTCTTCGACTTTTGCTGCAGCACTAGCTGCTGCAGCACTGCACTGGCTGCTGCTGCAGCAGCAGAGGCTGCTGCGATGGGATATTTGCGTCTTTTTGTTTCGTTTTGTTTATTTCGTTTCACGGGCTTCTGCTTTGGTGTGGGGGGATCGGCTTTGCTGCTGCTGCTGCTGCGCTGCTGCTGCTGCTGCTGCTGTCGCTCGCGGTAGTTGAGGTTTGGAGCTTTCCAGTGGTCTTTTGTGCGGTGTGTTTGTTTTTTTAATTTAATTTGTTTATTTTTGCAAATTAAAGAATTAAATTGGCAATTTATTTCATTTAAAAGTTCATTTGCTGCACTTCGCAGGCGAAAACCCGGCAGAGTCGCTGGTGCAGCACGCGCTGGCGGACCAGCAGCAGAGCGGGCACTGCGCGGACAACATAACGGCGATGGTGGTTTTCTTCAAGTCTTAATTGAATTTATAATTTCCAAATTTATAATTATCAAATTTATAATTATGAATTTATTGAGAAGTCTTAATGCGACTTGCATGCGTCACTTCCACACCAGCTGCTGCTGCTGCTGCTGCTCGCGGCGCCGCTGCTGCTGCTGCTGCGGCTGCTGCGCCGCGGTGTCCAACTCACTTCCTGCTGCTTCTTCGTTTTATATTTCTTTCTTTCTCACTTTTATTATTTCTTTTTCTTTTTCTTTTTCTTCTTTTCTTTTCCATTTACTCCTCCCCGCCGCTTCATTTGTGCCTCCTGCCCCCCTCGCGTGCAGATCTCCACTTGCTGTTTCTCCCAGTGTTGCAAGTGCACACAACCCGCAGCAGCAGCAGCAGCAGCAGCAGCAGCAGCAGCAGCAGCTCTTTCTGCTGCTGCTGCTTGAGGGGCTGGACAGCCGTTCACTGCTCTTGTGCTGGCGCCGGGAGCAGCTAGAAACACGCACTGTAGAGTCTGCGGCAGCCCTGCTGCAGCAGCAGCACAGCGTGCTGCAGCAACAGCGAAGTGTGCTGCAGCAGCAGCACAGTGTGCTGCAGCAGCAGCACAGTGTGCTGCAGCAGCAGCACAGTGTGCTGCAGCAACGACGCAGCATGCAGCAGCAACTCATGCTGAAGCAGCAGCAACTTGGGACTCTCACTGGGTGCAAGAGCAACACGTGCTGCTGCAGGTACAGTTGATGCTGCTTCGACATGTTTTGCTGCAGCTTCCAGCTGCTCCTTTTGCTGCGCTGCTGCTGCTGCTGCTGCTGCTGCAGCGCCGCGCAGCTGCCAGCAGGTGCAGCAGAGAGCCGCTGCTACCGGCCAACTCTTGCAGTGTACGTACACCAGGACATGGAAAATAGAAGTGCAGCAAAACTGCAAACAGCTGTCCAAGCAGCAGCAGTTTCTTTAGAGAGAGAGAGCTGTGACTGCAGCAGCAAAGTTCTGCTGCAGCAGCAAAGTACTGCAGCAGCAGCAGCAGCGGCTGAGGTGTTTTGTCTAGAGGAGTAGTGGAGGCAGAGAGCTGTAGATAGTCTTATAGGAAGGAAAGTCTTATGCTGAGGGACCTGCTGCTGCTGCTGCTTCAGCTCGTGCAGCTGCTGCTGCTGCTGCCGCCGCATTCGCTGCTGCTGCTCTTTCTTGCTGCTGCACTTGCTGCAGCAGCTGCCACTCCTGGCATGTTGGGTTGCTGCAGCAGCAGCAATTCACTGCTGCTGCAGCAGCAATTCACTGCTGCTGCTGCAGCAGTGAGCAGCATCTGCCTGCCTTGCAGTTCAGGTGTACGTACACCTGCGCCAAGCGGCTTGAAGCGGCACTTTGGCTGCTCCAAATGCGGCGAAGAGGCAGTTGTTTGTGTAGAGATGTTTGCAGTGGAATTAATAATGAGATGAATAATGATAAACTCGCAAATAATAAGAGTTCAAATGGTATTTAATCTGTTTAGAAGTGGCGAAGATGGGGAGACGAGAAGTTGAAATGCGCAGTGGGGGAGCGTTTCTGCGAAAGAGTTACAATAATGTGCTTTGGAAGTCCAAGCTGAGACGAAGTAGGAAAGTTTTTGGTTTTGCAATTTAGCAATTTGGACATTAAATGAGTTATTGAGTTACTGTTGAAGAACTTGCAACTGAAGCTGAACAAAGTTGAACTGCGGGTGAGCAGTTCACGCAGCGGCTGGGCGCGCTGCGGCGCGGATGCGCGGAGGAAACTGAAGGAAAGCGGGAGAAAAAAGAGGAAAGGGAAAAGATCTGCTGCGGAGAATAAAACTGGAGAAAGAAAACCTACTAAAGAGAAAAAGTGGACTTGGCTTTGGCGGAAATGAAGTGGCGAGCAGACGGGCTGCGCGGCGGCGCGCAGACCGGGAGCTGCCTGTACACCCCAGCGCACTAGTAGTTGAACACGCACTGTTCCTTCTCTTCGGAGAGCTTTTTGGAAACATAACCGCCCACGCAAGTGCAAACAACTTTATTATCAATAACATCGCAGAAGCCGGGCCTGCAGTCGTCGACTTTGCAGAGAGATCGGGGGGGCGGCGTGGTGGTGGTGGTGGTGGTGGTGGTGGTGGTGGTGGTGGTGGTGGTGGTGGTGGTTGTGGTCGTTGTGGTGAAGTGGCAGCCCCCCTCCCGCTCTTCCAAGTCTTCATTGCATTTGCAAAAAGCCCCGAAGCTGGAGTCGAAGCAGCTGCTGCCCACGGGGCAGCGGTTGCGGTAAGAGTCGCACTTGCAAGAGCCGTAGGAGTAGGCGGGGTCGTAGATGATGGAAGTTGAACAAAAGACCCAACTCTGCGAACACCAGTTCCCAATTTTTCCCTGTTCAATCACAGTTTTGCTGCAGCAGCTGCCTGGGGGGCAGTGGAGGCCCCCGGGGTATTCTGTAGCGGAGGCCCTGCCCCCACAGGCCTGTCTGTTCAAGGACTGGAAGCAGGGCTTCATGGCCTTGTTGATTTGGTTGAACTCCTCTTCGGTGATGTCAGTGAACGCCGCGGCCTCCCCAGCGCCCTTCAAAGCCGCTATTTTCTCAAATTCACTTTTAGATTTCAAATTTAAATCTTTTTCTTCGTCTGGAAACGCCAGAAAGTCCGAAACGCCCGCGGCCAGCGGCTGCTGCTGCGCGCTCGGCGCCGTGGCCCGCTGCGCAGACGGCGCAGCGGTTTCCCCCAGCGCCAGGGCCCCCACCAGCAGTATTTTCGAATACATTCTGAAAAATCAACTTCAAGTTGAATTTAAATGCAAAAAAAGACCCAAAGCCGGCGAAATTCGAACAAACTCTCGCAGTCTTGCAGTGCCCGCGCAGCTCCCTGGCCGCGGCTGTTGCTTCGCCGCCCGCGATCTTCAGATTTCCGCGCCCCCAAATCCCACTTTTTTCAATTATTTGACCTTTTAAATACTAAAACAACTCAATTTGCTCCAGATTCCTGGCTGGAAAGGAGCGGGGCTTTCCAGTTTTCCAGGTTTCCCCCGCAGGTGGCTGCCGCGGCTGTTGCCGGCGAGGCGAGTCGAAACCTTGGGCGCGACGAACAAAACCCAACTGGACTTCACCCTGAATTCCCTCAGGAATGAAGATGAATGCTTTTGTTCGTCTTTGGAGGAAAAGGAAGAAAGGAAGAACTGCGCAGTTGTCTCGCGTTTGCATCTGCGAAACCTGAACGCAATCGACCGCGGCGGCACAGCCGCTGCTGCTGCTCCGGCTGCTCCCGCTGCCGCCTTCGCCTCCCAACTTCGCCAACTTCTCTTCAATTTCAAAACATTTCATTTCATTAATTTTTTCTTTTTGTTTTATGCCGCTTTTTGGCGCCGTCGCAGGTCTTTTGCCGGGGAGCCGGCGGGTCACCAAGCCGCAGTGCACCACTGGTGCAGCGCAGCGCCTTCTACGCCCGATTCTGCCAAGTTTCCTCCTTTTCGACTTGAACTAAATTTCTTTTTATTAATTTGAAAAATTTAAATAAAGTTTTCAGCAAAAGAAAAAAGAGGAGAATCAAAGCGCAGCTCCTGAAGGGGTTTTCCGCGATCGCCTCTTGCCGCAGCAAGAAGGCACGAGCAGGCATTCAAGCGACGCAATTCAGTCTTTTCTTTTCTTTCTTCAAATTATCTTTTTATGAAAATAAAAAGATTTTTTAAACCAAGAAATGCAAAAGACTCGACCCTTTTGTCGTTTCCCTCAAGAATGCCGCCAGTTCTTGAATCTGCTGCACACTGAAAGGAAAAACTTGAATTTGAACGCGAGTGCAGCAACAAAGGAATAAAAGTTGACTTTTTCAGCTCTGGAAACAGTAGTAAATGAGTATTGCAAGCTTTTGAATGAAAAGAAAAGAAAATAAATAAAACAAATAAAATTAATTATTTAAATTAAATTGAATGTTGCAAATGAATTCCAAGCCAAACGCCGTTTCCTCCTGCAGCGGCCTTAGCTTGCACTGCGAGAAAAAGGCAAATTTAGAAGCGAAATAACGCAAAAGGCGCCTTTTAAGTGCATTTACGTTTAAATTTTATAAATATTTGCATCAAAATGAAATATAAATCCGCAAAATGAATTTAAAAGTCCAAAAAATGAGAAAATTGGGAAATTCTGTATTTAGTTCCGCTTCAGCTTCTTCCTGAGATACGCAGAGCCATCAGCCATCGGCATAATGAGAAGAAAACTTTTGTTTCATTTTTCATTTAAAGAGAAAAGAAAATAAATAAATAAATAAATAAATAAATAAATAAATATACATAAATAAATAAATAGACAAAATTAAGAATAAATAAAAAAGTAAATAGATAAATAAAAAGAGGAAGAAGGCATTTAAGGAGCATTTTTCGAGCACTATTAATTTTCTATTTTCGTTTTTTTCGCCACTTAATTAAATCAAATTACAAATTAAATCAAAAGTTTGCCATATTTATTTCGGCTGGGTCTAACGCAGAAGCCCCTGCTAAACCCTAAACTAGGGTTTAGGGTTTAGGGCATAGAGTTTGCTTTTCACGGACGGAACTGGCGGGGGAGTTTCCATTTTGAAAAGCTTTTAAACTTAGTAACAGCCGAAAATGGAGGTGCGCGTGTTATGAATTATTATTAATCAATTAATTAATTAATTAATTAATTAATTTGTTTCTTCTATTTATTTATTTATTGTTTATTTTTTTAGCTTTTTCCATTATGTATTACTTTGCTATTATTCTTAATTATAAATTGACTGCTTAATTACTTAGATAATTGGCTTTTGTTTAATTAATTAATTAATTAATTAATTAATTAATTAATAAATTAATTATTATATTAATTAGATTACTAAATGGTTAAACATTCCACAGATTGACAGAATCGCTTTATAAGACTTTCGGGCCCAAAGTTCAAAAAAGAAGTTTAAATAAATAATTAACGACACTGAGCTAGTAAATAAATAAATAAAATATACAATTAATAAATGATATATAATAAAAATTAATAATTAATAATATTAAATTAATTAATCGATAAACAAATCAATATAGTTGAAGTGGATAATTTCAACTCCAAAAGTGCTGAAGTAGTTTCCATTCTCTTTCTTCAACACTGCCTTGAATCCGGGGCTTAGCACCTAAACCCTAAACCCTAAACCCTAAACCCCAATTCCCTGGCAATGGCAAAGTGCTCTTTTTCCGCATTTTCGCCAGCAGTGTTTAGACCTTTCTCGTTGACGAGTTGGAGAAATTAAAACTTATTTTAAATTCAATTATTTATAAAATATATTTATTTGAATTTCTAATTTGTTTCAAACATATCTTTTTTGCTTGCTGCAGCCACAGCAATTGCTGCAGCAGCACCCCACACTTCCCCATTTGAGTCAAACTTTTGCAGCTTTTGCAAATCTATGGACCCAAATAAAAGGGTATTTGGGGCCCCCAGCAGCAAACCAAGTCAAGGGGGCCCCGAGGGCTCTCAAGGGGGCCCCTAGGGGGCCCCAGAGGGCCCCCAGAGTGCGCCGGGGGCCCCCCAGGGGCCCCCCAGGGCCCCCCAGGTGACCCGCCGGGGGCCCCCCGGGGCCCCACAGGGGCCCCACAAAAACGAGGGGCCCCCCGGGGGGTCTCGGGGGCCCCCTGGGGGCCCCTGGGGCCCCGTAGGGGCCCCACTATTGGTGTGTGCTTTGAGGTGAGTATTGTTTGGGTGTGTTGGGTTTGAAGAAAGGGTTTAGAAGGAATTAAAAGTTGAATTAGAATTCAAGTTCGAATTTGGATTTTAATTCTGTCCTTAGGGGCCCCCAAGTGTTGAGTTGGGTTTTTTTTTAAAGTTATTTTTTTTCTGAAGACGGGGTTTGTGCGAGACGCGCTGCGCAGCCGACGAAACCCTAAACCCTAGCGGGCGCTAAAACCTAAACCCTAAACCCTAAACCCCTGTGGGCCTCGTTGGTGGGGCTTGGGGGTCGTTGCTCTGTGGCCCCCCTAAACCCTAAAGCCTACTGGGGCTAGGGGTATTTGAGTTGCGTCGCGGGCGAAGGGAGGCGCTGGGCCTCGCCAAACCCTAAACCCTAAACCCTAAACCCTAGAGTTCGTAGGTGTGTTGGGAGGGTTTGTCTCGCTGCGAGGGGGGGTGTGTGGGCAAGTTCTTTTCAAGTGGAGTTGCGAGAATCTAAAAAGGGGCAGTGGCGAGTATCTGAATAGCAGAAAAGATAAAGCCGAAGGGCGCGCGCTGCAGCGGGCGGCGCGTTGCTGCTGCTGCTGCTGCTGCTGCGGGAAAGAAGCTGCGTGGGGGCGCTAGGGTTCTTTTTTGTTCCGAATTTTGGGGACTGAAGAGAAGTGATTCGTTGGTGTGCGGAATTGGCTGCACACGCGGCGTCGCGAGGTGGAGATACACCCGAGACGACGGCGGTGTGCAGGCAGGCGGCGTCGCGGGTTCGCGTCTGCCGGGGGTGCGATCTGCGGGAACTTTAGAGGATCTTTAGGGAAAAGGGGTTGGAAAAGCCAGCAGAAGTGGATTTAGGAGTTCAAAAAGGGGAAATGGGGGGATTTTAGCTGCAGCTGCGGGCGGCGCGGCTGCGGCGCTGGCGGGCGCGGGGCGGCCGCGGGGGCGTGGGAAGGCGGAAAGCGGCGGGAAAGCGGCGTTTTTTCTCGCCAGGGTGCCGCGAAAAAGGCCAAGGGAGTTAAAAGCGGCTTTTGCGAGGCTTTGGACTATTTTTTTTGGCTTTCCGGCGCGCGGCGCACCTCCTCGGCGGCGTAGTCCAGCCACCGCCGCCGCCGCCGGGGTGCGGCTGCGCACCCGAGCCGAGGAGCACCCCGGGCAAGACGGGGGCGTCGTGGCGGCAGCTGCGCACCAGAAGAATCCTTTTTGCAATCCTCTCGAGTCCGCCGTCGTGTCTGCTGCTGCTGCTGCTGCTGCTGCTGCTGCTCCCGCTGCTGCTGCGAAAATGGCCGCGTTCGAACCCAGGCGCCGCCCCAAGATCGCCCTCGTGGGCTCCGGCATGATCGGAGGCACCATGGCCTTCCTCTGCGGCCTCCGCGAACTCGGAGACGTCGTCCTCTTCGATGTCGTTCCCAGTCAGTCTCTTCCTGCTGCTGCTGCTGCTGCTGCTGTTGATTCCCTCCTCCCGCTGCTGCTGCTGCTGCTGCTGCTGCTGCTGTTGCTGTCGATTCCCTCCTGCTGCTGCTGCTGCTGCTGCTGCTTGTCTCCCGCTGCTTCTGCTGCTGCTGCTGCTGCTTCTCCCCCGCTGCTGCTGCTCCCCCGCTGCTGCAGCAGCAACTGCTGCTGCTGCTGCTGCTGCTGCAGACATGCCGATGGGAAAAGCGAAGGACCTTGGCCACAGTTCCTCCGTAGTGGACAACGGAGTGGAGTTCTGCGGGGCCAACAGCTACGAAAGCCTCGCGGGGTCTTCAGTGGTGATAATAACTGCCGGAATTACCAAAGTGGCCGGCAAGAGCGACCAGGAGTGGTCAAGAAAGGACTTGTTGCCAGTAAACGCGAAGATCTTAAGAGAAGTGGGAGCTGCCATTTCCAAGTACTGTCCCGAGGCTTTTGTTATTAACAATACAAACCCTTTAGATGTTATGGCGGGGGTTTTATTGCAAGCTTCTGGTATACCCTCTTCTAGGGTTTGCGGGATGGCGGGGGTTTTGGACTCCGCCAGATTTCGGAGAATGATTGCGGATAAGCTCCGAGTTAGTCCCAGGGATGTGCAGGCGATGGTCATTGGAGTCCACGGAGACCAAATGGTCCCTCTTAGTCGATTTGCAACAGTTAATGGAGTTCCTCTTTCCTCTTTTATTAAAAAAGGATTTATTTCAGAATCTGAAATTCAAGAAATAGAACACAAGACAAAAACTGCGGGGGGGGATATAGTGAGGTTACTTGGCCAAGGCTCTGCTTATTACGCCCCAGGGGCTGCTGCAGTGGCGATGGCGGAGTCTTTTCTTAAAGACCAAAAGAGGGTTTTTGTTTGCTCTTGTTTTCTAGAAGGGGCTTATGGGGTGAAGGGGCATTTCTTGGGAGTTCCTTGCGTTATAGGGGGGGGGGGGGTTGAAAAAGTTTTGGGGTTGGGGTTGAATGAAAAGGAGA